CTTGCGCTAAAAGACAACAATGATATCATACTGTATATTATAATTCAAACTTTAGTATTATACATTATTTAATTGCTTGATTTAAAAGTAAATATTAAAAGAACACAGATAAACATCGATTTTTGTGTGTCATTTGGTATGTTGAATGCAGCATTGGTTCAAATTAGATGTTTTTGAAGTCAGAATACCATGTCTATAGTTTTGTACGATATAGAAACTCAAATTACTGATATTGACAAGCTAGAATATAAAATAATATTCACTATTTTCATTAACTTAGTACATTAGTTTGTTTTTTGATATGTAGGGATCTTTGTTGTTGTAATCATTTCACTGAAGCTAATTTAACTCTTAGAGGTGTGTTGTCAGCGCTGAGCAGTGTTCTTGTGAAGGTCCTAACAGATAATTTCAAAAAAGTAATAAAACAACAGTAAAATAACAGTATTTTATTACCCCCCCCCCCATAAAAATATGTAGTAACTTGCTTTAACCCAGTGTCTACTAAACCAGTCAAACACAGCTGTCTTTTCGGAGGAATGTAGAATATTCATCATTCTGATCGCCAGGATATTTCCTTTACTTCAGCTGTCTTTTTCGGAGGAATGTAGATTATTGATCATTCTGATCGCCAGGATATTTCCCTTACTTCAGCTGTCTTTTCGAAGGAATATAGAATATTCATCATTCTGATTGCCAAAATATTTCCTTTACTTCAGCTGTATTTTCGAAGGAATGTAGAATATACATCATTCTGATTGCCAAAATATTTCCTTTACTTCAGCTGTATTTTCGAAGGAATGTAGAATATACATCATTCTGATTGCCAAAATATTTCCTTTACTTCAGCTGTATTTTTGAAGAAGTGTAGAATATACATCATTCTGAACGCCAGGATATTTCATTTACTTCAGTTCTTTTGTATTTTCAAAGCATGAAGATAACAGTACTGATATATGAGATTTGTTTTTTAAATAACACGTCTCTTCTTCACATCTGGTGATTAGAATGCCTTGACTATGAAGCCTAGGGTCCATGTTCAGACCAGAGTAGTCCAAGAGTTGCCGAAGATTCTAAAACGAACAAATAAACAAATTTTGGCCACTAGTATTTCTTTTTCTTAGACACATTATATTTTCCTCTACTCTAATCAGTGTATATGAATTACCTATTTGTTAAAGACTAATATTCTGATACATATGCCTTTTAAATCATGTAGTTATACAGTTTAGTTTCTTATTGTAACTGTATTTAAGCCGTAACAATCTTGTTTTTCAGTGTGTTAAAACTGTAACAATCTTGTTTTTAGTGTGTTTAAACCGTAACAATCTTGTTTTTTAGTGTGTTTAAACTGTAACAATCTTGTTTTTAGTGTGTTTAAACCGTAACAATCTTGTTTTTAATGTGTTTAAACCAATCTTGTTTTTTAGTGTGTTTAAACCAATCTTGTTTTTAGTGTTTTTTTTTTTGTGGATCTTTAGGTCGCTCAAGGTGGCAGTGTGGGTCAAGCCCTCCTCGGTGGGTGGGTTCTTTCCCTGATCTCAGCAACTGCCAGTCGACATGGGTTGAAAGCCTCAAGAGAAGGGTAAGTGTTTCCTCCATAGCGTATCGATAATATGTTGAAGGAATGATGGAAGTATATCAAGATTACGTACGTATAGTGTTCTGTTTAAATATTAAATGTTAGTGTGTGCTATACGTAAAAAATAAAACATTGTTTATTTGTGAAAACCTCTGGGCCTTCTCTTGTATCATCATTCGTATTTTCAGACTCAGCTGCTCCACAATTAATCTTTATTTGTACTTTCTCCTCAGAAACTGGTGAAATTAGTGATGTATTTCATTCTTATTTTTTTAGAGCTTTGAAGTAGACAATTGTTATGTAATCTCAGGAAAAGTCAACACCATTGACCATACTTTGATAGTATTTTCAAATACACCAGAGCATATGATAACAGGGAAAAGTGTCTTTACACTATAGACAAAACGCTGAAGCAATCTGTAATATCTGTTTGTAATGCCTGTCTCGTTAGGCACGAGAAAGAGCTATTAGATCTGAGGTACGGCCCTCGGCAATACGTTTGCAAAATGTAAGCTCGATAAAAGTTGTAAAGCATGTATTACTACACCCAAAACTAACACCACATTTCTCACAATACTTGAGTATGAAAAATGTTGTTTTCTGGATTCGGAAATTCGCGCAGAGGGCTACATGTGCTAACCGTTCCTAACTTTGAACCGTTATACTAGAGACAAGGCAGCTATATAACCAGCAGCATCCACCTAACTCTGACTCTTGGCTATTCTAATCGAATAGTGGGATTTATTCATCACTCTTATAACGCATTCACAGCTCCAGAGTGTGGAGCACGACTCGCAACTATAGCATCGAACCATGAACCGTCGGATTCGCAGCCCAGCACACTGACCACTTGGCCACACCAATACCGTATCAGAATATATATATATATATAATTATTGTTCTTACCCTGAAATTCCAGTTATATAAAAATCAAATCTATATTCAACTGCTTGAAATATATTTACACGACTGCTTCTATAATTCAGTTTCTATTAAAGGAGCATTCTGGTGGTTTGGCGATATGTTTGAGAGCAAATAATGTAAAAACCTTGGGCTCAATCCTTGTGATATCCCATTAAGCAACTTAAAGTATACACATTGTACTGTTGAAAGGACTTTAGAATACGGAAGTAATGGACTTGGAATTCTTAACGCGACGAAGCAAAGTGTTTTTACAAATATGTTTATAATTACCTTGATAGATTTCGGGGATGTGACACCTTCTAGTAGTTTCTCTTCTTCTTTTCCCTAGTTAAGTCTAATTAGGCCTTATAAAGCGGTACAGTAAAACAAATGACATAATTGTTCTATTTGTAGATCATAGGCTTATTTATATGTTATCTGCAAGGAGTAAAAAATATAACCAATACCTATCATACCTGTGATGATTTTGTTTTGGCTTTTCTAAGGTTTTCGTTTACATGTTCTTCGTCTACATTCTGAAAATTATATTAATATTGTATTGTCATTAAAATGTCTTAAACCGAAAATGAATGAGCTTTTATTTGATCATTTGTCAGTTGCTGGTTGTGTAATATTAAAATATTCTCACAATAAAAAAGGTCACCAGCATTGAAGGTAACCAGACAGCGCCCCTAGTAATCTAACAGGTAAAACATGATCATTTGTTCCTTGGTTTCGATCTATACAACATGAAATGATGTTAAACCCATGTTTCGTTTTACACATCCAGTTCAGCATCATAGACTCGTACGAAGGAAATACATTCAATGTTTTCCTTTTCTTTGTATGTCAGATTAATGGTGGGGATTCGGTGGTAGGTATTGCAGCAGAATTGGCTGTAATCACTAGAACTAAGCCTCTGTTTGGAGGGGACATAACTCAGACATTGGTCATTCTCCACCGCCTTGTCTCAAAGCTGGAAGATCGTGTCCAAGAAATTACGGACGACAAACAACGCTATCAAGTGATCAGAGAGATGCTTCAAGTAAGTTAACGCTATTTCGTTTCACGTTTGTAACAAAATATATAACAGTAAACATGTATTGTAACAAAAAATATCAAACGGTCTTTGTTTTGTTTCATAGACGTTAGGTAGATATCCCTAAAACAAATCCTTTTGATAGATGACATCAAAATAAGTCTTGCTGGTTTATAGACATTAACCAGGTAATATTTAAATGAATATGATCTTGTTCACCAACTTTAGTTAGATAACATTGAAACGAATATGATCATGTTCATAGACTTTAGCTAGATAATATGTAAACAAATCCTCATATAGACGTTAAATAAATTCATGAAAACTTATCATATAGTTAGGTAGTTACTTAAGTAGAAAAATCTATATTGATAACATCCAACTTAATTAGTTACTTAAGTAGAAAAATCTATATTGATAACATCCAACTTAATTAGTTACTTAAGTAGAAAAATCTATATTGATAACATCCAACCTAATTAGTTACTTAAGTAGGAAGATCTATATTGATAACATATCACACAGTTAGGTAGTTGCTTAAGAAGGAAAACCTATATTGATAACATACTAAACAGTTACCTAACTGTTTAAATAGAAAGATCTATATTGATAACTTACCACATAGTTAGGAAGATCTAGATTCAAACTGATAAAGTTTAAATTAGTACCGTAGAATAAAAGTTTTAAATACATTAATGTTTAGAATAATGCGTTCATGATTTCAGATGATGCGTCGATAGACAGACGGGTTGATTCATGAATGAGATAGATAGAAGCATAGATTAATGAATTAATCATCTAGTTAAACATCAGAGAGTTCAATGGAATGATGAATGGTTAATAATTTTGAAAAAATATAATATATGAATAGGTTAGATAGGTAGAAGGTTGAAGGAATTAGACAGATCGATAGATACCTTAGTAAGGATTGCGTCAGAATTAATGGAGTTTCAGTTTTCTGATTCTTAGAATCGGGTACATAAAGAAGAAACATAAGACATCGCTTCCTATTACTCTTGAGACACCGAGATAAGGATCTGATATTTGTATTTAGTGCATAGAAGTTTTTGGAATGTTGTAGCTTAGTTACAAATGTGTTGGTATTTGGATACTTCTGTTTGTTGCTGTGGTAAAATGAGAAACAGATAAAGTTCACGTTGGAGACTAAATACCTTGACAAGACGTTTCACTCATCTTACGTTTACAACTGTGACACTAATACAGTTCTCGTTTGATAAAGAAAACTCTAACTTTGGCGTCAGTTTTCTGTTAAAGATTGGCATTTTCCAAGAGGATTTTGACTTTTGATGTATTTGATTACTTTTATTTCATTCAAGAAAGTAAAAAAAAAAAAAAAGAGAAAGAAACGAAAATTGCACCTTATAAGAACTTCAAATAGAATAGTTTCACTTGTTAATGTTCTCATAAAATGTGTATTACAATGGTAGTAGATAATAAATCACCAGTAAGCCCTAATTTGTTTTCTCGGAAACCGAAATCCTTTTGAAATAACATCATCTTCTGTAAGAAATACTTTAAAATGCAAGACTTCTCAAAAGTTTGAAAATTTAATCACATTTTTTTCTTCTTCTGAATGACGTTTTGTGTTGTTTGCTAAAATTTTCTCTCTGGTACGAAATATACTGTTAAAAAGTTCACTAGGAGATTGGTATCCATGATACGATAGCATGACTGATGGTACCCTAGGGTCACAGATTATACAACTCACAAGGCTGTAAGTTTACTTAGTGGTCTTCTGGTAACCAACTTATCACTCTTACTTCTAGAAAATGGTAGGTTCTATTTTGCTTACATGTTGAAACATATTTACTCCTTCTGTCCACTATGTAGTCTGTGCAGGAAGTCAGCAGTAACCTCCTGGAAGAATTCCAGAACCAGTCTTGGCTAGATCTTCCTGTGTCTCAACAACGGCTGGCGACTTCAGCCCTGATCCAGAGATTGGAACAGATCACGTGGTTACTGGCCGACTCACAATCTTATGGAAGACGCTTTTCGCGTGCCGAATCAAATATTTGTAAGATCCATTCAATATTCACTCAGTCATTTTGTTTCTGATGTCCAAATTATCATGATACAACAAGTTAAACAATTGAATGACAACGTTACACTTTTTTTCTTTTGTGTAGCATTTACATGATTGAATTTCAGTTATTTTTGTTTCTATTACATTTAATATTACTTGCGTGATAATCTAAACATTCTAGAAAAGTATCAGGAGATTATCACAAAAACGTATTGTTTTCTTTCAACGAGTAAAAGGGGCTTATTTTTCTTCGTGGTGAGTTTTCCTCTAACGTAATACAAGAATCAAGCCTAATATCACATTCAAGTGTAGCGTAACATTAAGGTTTGACTTACTTCTCTCTTATTGTTTCTCTTATATTATTTTTTATCGAAATAATACGTTAATTTTACGACTGTGTGCTTTACCTTTATAAGATAATATATAGCGTTACGTTTACGATACCTACACATTTAACCTTTTACGAAGACAATATACATCTTAAAACAATGTTATATGTGGTGTCTTCCTAGTGGTATCCATCAGGTTGGTAGAAACTTGGGCTGCTTCTGTCGTCTACTTTCCTGTTCCAGAAGACGTAGAAGGGACACGGTGGTATCGAATGGAGGATTCTATACTTTTACCAGCAGCTGCTTTATTAGGAAGTGCACTAAATGGTTAGAATGTTAATTAATTGGTACAGACAAGAACAATACGATGAAAATATTAGATTTAATGATATTTCGTAATTGTTGTCACATTATAAAAACTATAAGTGGGTCAGGCGTGGCCAGTCAGGTCTTTAACATGCCGGACTGTGAATCCGAGGGTCTATGGTTCGAGACCCGTTGCCACAAAATCGCGCTCCGCACTTTAGGGTCGCGGGGGGATTATACAAATGGCTGTCAAATCTCGATATTTGATTGCAGTAGTCCAAGAGTTAGTGCTGTTAAGTAGTGCCTTTTTTCTGATTTATCACTAAAACTGAAAACTTGTTAAGTAGTGCCTTCTCTCTGATTTATCACTAAAACTGAAAACTTGTTAAGTAGTGCCTTCTCTCTGATTTATCACTAAAACTGAAAAATTTGGGATGACTATCATAGCTCTCCCTTGTGGAACTTTGTGCGAATATTTGAAACAAAACCAAAACTGAAAATGAACTGAATAATGTCGCATTTTGCGACGGGTTAAGTTTTTATAATACTAGACTTTTTTCTTTGCAGTTTCTTATTTGAACTTACATATAGGACTATTCTGCACAACAATCGTTTTAACGTTACAAATGTTGCTAACAATTGGCATACTAGATAAAACTTTACCCCATTTGGTATTTAATTTAATTGTTTGACAAAAAGAAAAGGAACAGGAACCGAGATATCAGACAACTTACCCAAAGGAAATTTGGCAACGTTGTCTTATTTCTTTCAATTCGAACTTGAATGAAATATAAATAGAAGGTGTTCTACTGGCGTTGAGACGTAATATTGGTTAGGCAACCAAAACAATAGAACAAAACAAAAATAAGTGAATAAAACTTGTTTGAAACCAAATGGTATTGCCTATTTTCGGATTTATTGTTTCTTTGATATGTAAGCTTCTTTTGTGATTGATTTTATTCTAGTGTGAATTAAGCTTCGTGCTCTTAATTAGAGTTAAGACTAAGATATTGAAGAATAGCACGATTAAATGTATAAAATAAAAATATCTGTGTTTCTTTTGTAGGGGTTGTGAAAGTAGTATTTGTAGCTTACAACAGGGTGGAAGAGTTTTTATCCTTAGAGATAAACCTCCCAGTAGATATGGGAAGCACAGTTAGTTCAGTCACTGGTTTAACGAACTCCACCCAGGTAATCAACTCCAGACTTATCTCTGCGTCGGTTGACAACTTTCGAATGGTAAAACTACATCAACCTGTGACTGTTACCTTAAGACATTTGCAGGTAAGAGTAAGTGTTAACTGAACACTAGGCTATACGTATTTATAGATATAAGTGTTTCGTTAAGGTGTTTTGTTTTTGTTTTTATGAATTTAAAATTAACTTGTCATATAAACAGAAAGAAAGAAAATAATCTAAAACTAACTTACTGTAAGAATCCATTTTTGGGTGAATAGAGCGTGCCTGACACCAGGCTGGAAAGTTCAAGGTTCGATTCGCGATGCCGCTGTGAGGGCGATGTAACCATTGCAGTTAATCCCGTTATTTGGTTAAGGGGAACCGTGAGGGGGCAGGTGGTGCTGATTGATTACTCTCCGTCCGAATGACAGTTTTAAGTTATGGATGGTTGTATCTGAACCTTGGGGTCTTTAACCTGATCGTTTAGTCTATGTGTCACGTTAGGTGACATTCAGGCTTAAAATGACAAACATTCTAATATGGTACAAGACATCGGAAGATTAACTATATATCTCAAGGTTTTCTTACATTATCAAAACTTTTTTATTGAGTGCATTTTTAATGAGATTTTTTAAATACGTTTCCTGTAGGGCTCATTTGTGGTTAGCGGGCCGCACTGTGAATCCGAGGGTCCATGGCTCTCGTCCCATTACTGCTAAGTCACACTCTGCACTTTGGAGTCATGAGTGCACTATAATAGTGAAGACCAAATTAGATAGCCCAAAAATTGGCGGTGGGTGCTGTTAACCATCTGTCTTCCCTCTTATTTATCATTTAAAAATATGTGTAACTCTGCGCGAATATCCGAAACAAAGTGCGTGTCTTAATTTATCTGAATTCTAAGTCGCTCTAAACGTTTAAGGCAGCACTGACCCTTAAAATTGGGCAAATTCACATGCTGAAGAAACATTGTTAAACACTTATAACCTTCAAGTTGAGTACAAAACAAAGTATGATGTAACCTCTGAAAGTACACTTTCAGTCATATATGTTATATGCATAATTAATATGGCAGGGATAAAGAAATACATAACATAAACTGTTTTAACACCATATCTTTACTTAGGAATGATAAAAATACATGAAAATTGATACAAATTCTCTTTGTGAACATCCTCATAGCTTGAATTTAAAGCTTTGCAAATTTTCTGCAACGTTACCGAGCTATGGGAATTAAAGTATTTAATTAATGCCTTCGTTAGTGGCAATTAGACTCATAACAAGAGAATTGGTAAAGAATTTTGAATTTTGAAAAATTCAAGCTATGAAGGAGTGTAATATCAACAAGTTTGCTAAATTTCATGCTGATATTGGCTTTAATTGTGAAATGGAAATGTAATTATAACAAACTAGACTTTTATTTTTAATCACTTACTACAGGCTAGTTATTTATATTAAGTTATTAATAACTGTGAATTTCTGCAATGTTTAATTTCACTAGGTACCAAATGAGAAATATTTTATTCCAACAACTGTAATATCAAATAAGATGTAAAAATTGAAGAAAGAATTAATTCTGTTTTAATTCAAGAATGATAAATAATATACATATTATTTAAGCTAGGTGGTTGAAATGTTTTTTTAATCAATATTCCCCACGAAAGTTTAGTACATAATAATGAAACTTAAAGCATGTAAGATAAATCACAAATAAAAATAAAGAATATTTATACTACACAAGTAGATTATAAGGTCGTATGGGAATTGTAGTAAAAACAATAACAAAATCAGTTACACATATTTTTAGCTATGCACCAAAGTCATATTAATTTTGCAATAAATCTGTATTTTGCATTATAGGAAGAGAATATGAGCAATCCTCGTTGCGTGTTCTGGGATTTTGATTCCAGGTGAGTGAAACGAAATTTAGTTGAAGGCTACTGT